ACATATATGCATGAACATGGCTGTTTTTCATTAAACTTTATTTACAAAAACTGGTGGTGAATAGGATGTGGACTGTGTGACCTAGTTTGCTGACTGTCTTAGCCTATCAATTCTTAAAGGTTAGCAATTGTATCATTCTCATGCCTCGATCCTTACTGTGTGTCACAGGTGGCACTCAGATATTTCTGGAAATCAATTAACAGTTGCTGGCATCAGAGATACTTTTTGTTAGCTATTGCTTAGGCCTTGTGAACTCTGGGGACCCTTGTCCTCTTGTGACTGTTGTCTGCACATGCCACTGTTTTGTCAGAACCTTTTGACCTATGGGTGATTTCCCTGTAGGCTCAGGACATTTTGCCTTGAAGCTTCAAAGGCAGACTGACTTCTAAGGAGCCATAAAAAAAACAGCATATTTTGTCAATCCCTACTCCTTCAACTCAGGGAAACACCTGTAAGGTTGACAGCTGCAGAAAGTCACCTTAGGCCGGGATTGTGCTCATGCAACAGAGGAAGCTACACAAAGTCATTCCTGACTCTAAAGAAAAGGGAAAGGTGGGTTGCAGGGTACTGAAAGAGTCCACAAAGACTGTTTTTTTTTCTTTTAATTAGCCGGTTAGTAAATCTGTTAGAAAATGAACATGATTTGTAATGAAGAGCCCCTCGTGGTCTTCATTTGTGAATTTGGTACCATCCTGTACAGGGTAAGGGTTTTCAGACCCTTGTGTGTCCTCCCACAGGTTGATTCCAAATCACAATGGCTCAGTCACACAATATTACTCAGGTGCTGGAGCAACCCTCTTTCTTTTTGACAGTATTTGTTGTTATTGTTGTTCACCTCTGTCGTACAAGTTCCTGGGCATGCTCAGTAGCTTAACCAGCCTGGCTTCTTATTCATTGTTAGTTCTTGTTTTAGGTGAGTTCTGATATTCTTCATTCTTACCTAAATCACTTGATAACATAGAGATGTTGTAAATAACACTGACCAGAGTCATCAATCAATTCATTAGAAGAAGATACAAAATAAGAATATAAAGTTCCCCAGGGATTTGTAATGACCAGCAACTAGTTTGCCTTCAGTAGTTATTATCTATTTTTGTAAAGTTCTTTCTATTCTGGGATCTTGATTAGAAAATCGATGTGGATGAAAGTGGGTTATGTTTAAGCACAGGTAGAATAATAACAATTTTGAAGGTTTAATGAGGAAGGCAACAGATGACTGATTAGTCCCCTATAACTGCCTCTCCAGTGGCTGAGCTTTCAGCAGACACTGATCCACATGCTCTTCTGCAGAGAAGATTCATATGGATGCCAATGGTTAGGAAGAACATGTTTTGACAGAGTAAGAAACAAAATCATGCTCTTTTCTGCCAAAGCAGCCAGATCTTTTCCACCCTTGGCTAGGGAGAATTATTGGTATATGACTCTGCTTGCTGTTTCACCCTCATACGCAATCAGCCTCTCCCTTGGGCCTCCCCACCTTAAATCTCCAGGCTTTTGTCTCTAAAAAGGTAACATCAGGTTATTGTAAAGCTGTGACTGCAGAGGTGTCATGGGCAAGCCTACTGTCATGGGTTGAATTGTGTCCTCAAAAAATATGTGTTAACTTGGTTGGGCCATGATTTTCAGTGGTTTGTGGTTATGTAATAATGCAATTTGGTGGTTAGGTAATGATGTCATCATGCCCCAGGATGGGATCTGATGTGATCAGCCAATCCGTAGTTCGGGAATTAGGGTGGGATGCAACACCCTTATTCAGGCAGCCTTGGTCCAGTGTAAGGGGGTTTTCTTGGGGGGTAGCCTGCATCACCTTTTATCTTGTTGTTGTTAGGTGCTGTTGAGTTGGCTCCAACTCATGGCGACTCTATGTGCAACAGAACAAAACACTGACCGGTCCTGCACCAGCCTCACAGTCCTTGCTTACAAGAGACAAAAGGAGAGAGATGTAAGCAGAGGAAGAGGGACCTGACTACCAGCAAGAAGGAAGAGCTGGGAGTGGAGCTCATTGTTGGGACCCAGAGTGCCTGTGCTGAGAACTTCCTAGACTCAGGGGAACCCAGATTGCAAGACACATGGAGATCTCCTAGGAATGTCAGGCCTACAGAGGTTGAAAGCTGATAAGGACCTTCTGCCAGAGCTGACACAGAGAGAAGGCCTTTCCCTAGAGCTGGTGCCTTGAATTTGAATGTCTAGCCTCCTAACTGTGAAAGAATAAATTTCTATTTGTTGATAACATTCACCTGTGGTGTTTCTATTAGAGCAGCACTAGACAACCAAGACACCCACTCAAGCTGCTCTCTGCAGCACTTTGGCTTGCACATCAGCACCACATGTGCTGCAGTATTAACCTTTAAAACAGACCCATGTTTCTATAACTATACCAGGTGTTACAGTGCTACTGCTGTGAAAAGCAGACCCTTTGATTGTCATTCTTAAGTAATAATCAATATTACCTAAGACAACTGAAGAAAACTAACGATAAAAATTGTCCCTACTCACTCTCTGTACTATTCTTTCTATTTAGCTTCTTAGAAATGTTGGAAATGTGATTCACAATCAAAGCCCACTGGACAAGGCCCTTTATTTCTGCCTTTGTAGCTCTGCCTGCTCCAGAAGGAGGCATTCCTGCCTTGTGCATAGGCAGTGTGGAACGAAAAGGGGGTGGGGTAAGGAGAGGGGGGAAGCAAAGGAAAGGCCTGTGTTCAGTAGGTTGAGGGTTAATGTTACTCACATGTGTTGGGAAGCATTGGGGTACAGTTTTGAAAACTGTGGGGCCGAGTCCTCGGGGCCGTGGGGTGCAGCGTGGCTGATCACCATCATAATGGGCCTATGGGGATACATTCTCTTAGACATTTTGAAGTAATTAATGCTCTCGTTAGTGATTAAGTCTGTGAAGTAGTCCTGAAACATACATTTGACACAAAACAAAAATTACAAAAGGTGACATTCATCAGATCACATTTGAATACTGCTTTCCTCAGAAGCAACTCAATGAATGAGGAGTTAAGGACTAAAGGTGGGAGGAACACCGTACCTCCCAAGGTAGCAAATGATCTTCAACAGAGAAAATCAGGTGCCAGTTACTTTCTTTATTTTTTTTTTCTTTTTTGGTGCCTGTTATTTTCTAGGGTGGCTAGCTTGTTCACATGCAAAAAGTTTAAGTAACGCATAACTTAGCAATTAAAAAAGAAAATGGTAAATCGTGTTTGCCCAAAATAATGATTAGCTTTGGCAATACAAATGCTGGAGCTGATGAAACAGCAGACATATATTTTCATTCTCAGGATTCGCTGATGTAATTCATTGACAAAAATTTTAATTACTTCAAAGGCAGTAAACACCCACACCCACTACAAGTTCACAGTTGTAGAGCACACACACACACACACACACACACAAGAAAAGATCTTTTCTTCAAATTAAAAATTCACCTGTGAAAATTATATAGTAATCACTAATCAAAGCCACTGCCAGAATCTGGGTGCACAGGAAAAGGTTGCCATATTTTATCAATTAATTTACTTTGAAACATTTAAGTAGGTGGGGCAGTGATTTCCTGCATATTATACTCTGTTAATTGCACAACTAAAGTGATACAGCTGCTAGGATTCAAACCTGACTTGTTAATAAAATGACTTAATCTTCAGTGTGTGTGGATGGGGGTGCTTATGGAAGTCTATCAGAGGAAGGAAGGAAAAGGAAGGAAAGGAAAGAAAAGATGAAAACTTAAATTAAACCACCTGTTCCTCTAAGTGGCTATCATTGGCCTCGAGCTCCAGTGTAAACTTCATTCAGAAAGTGCCTGGGCAATGTTCATAATTCCAAAGGTTTCAAGGCATGACTAATCACATCTGGATTCAAGGACCTGAACAGCTGCAAAAGCAGTGCCAAGGGGGATGAAATCTGTGTCACATGTCATCGTTAGGACAAGCCTACAGGCAATCACCTCTTTCCATAAGGGTGTCTGTTTCATTCCTTTCCTCACTAAAAACAGATATATATATGCCTTTGGACACAGTAGTGTTTGACACTTAAATCAGCTGTGCTAATGAGAAAGTTATGCTGCTTTAATATTTGGAGGGAATTGTGATTACCTTACCCTCCTCAGGACAAGAGGGAAAGAAAGGTTAATAGCTTCAACAAGGAGCATGTAAAGCATCCCCATGGATAAAAGACAGCAGTGACAATTAATGTAAATGCAAATCGTTTGCATGCAACTATTGTATCAACAACTGGGGATACAGCCTTGGGTGAATGAGTGGTTGAACCACTCCAGGCTTCATTTCCCCCATCTTCTAAAATGAGGACATTGCTAAAGTTGGCCTCCCAGGTCTCTGCCAGCTCTCAGCTCTTATAAGCACGGAAGCCTATTAACAATGTTTGTGAATTCATTTGCATTCATAGTTTTCTGAGGGCTTATGGAAGGTCAGACCTTACATGTTATCTCCTACCAAGTCTCTTGTGCTCAAATCAGGCCAAGCATAAAGATTCCAAAGTCCCAAAATCAAATCAAGTTCCCTCTGCATTTCCTACCTATTGGTTTTTCCTAGAGTCCTAGCCTTTCTGGAGGGAGTGCTAGATAGAGCAGATTCATGACTTCTTTCAGATAATTAAGGAATAGATGGGTATGGCTAGAAGAGAAAGGAATAGTTTAGGTTTAATTCACAGGCTAAACTCAAAAGACATTTTCTCCTTACTCTTTCAGTGGAAAAATTCCACTTCAATTTAAGTTGGCAATCATGAACTTTTGTGAATATTTAGGTCTAATCTAAGATTCAGTTGTCAGAGTTCAAGTACCCTTAGAGAATGCCCAGACATGTGGATTTGAGTTTCTGTGAAATGATTTGTTGCTAGCCTGGGAGACATTCGTGGACTCTCTCTGCCTTGGGGCAGGTGTCCTTGTCACATACACTAAGTTTGGTCAGACAGGAGTGAAAACAAGGAATGTGGTTTTCCAAGCTTTGATTATTGTACTTGTCTGGTTTTATTTTTACATCTAAATCTGAATCCACAGACAAAAAACACTTTCACCTTCAATGAAAAATAAAGCAGTAGACGATGAACATTTGATTATGTGGGCAAGTCTTCTTGAAGGGGAAACCCTCCCCACAAATTATAATAAGGGATATTAGAGGCATCCAGGATTTTCTTGATGATACTTCCATCAGAGGCTGATTGCCTTTTATCTTAATGAGTAAAAAAAAAAAAAAAAAAAAAAAATCACTATACAAAGGCAGTGTTCTTTGAGAGTCTTTTCCTTGCCTGGAGTTTAAAATTATCTTTAAAATTTCTCATTCGAGTATTGTGAGAACACAGAAAGCCAATCTTGAGGATAGGTTAGCTCACTGGAAATGGCTTTTCCTCATTATTCACAAAGAAAATTGATGCAGTGTAAAAGTGCCGAAAATTACCTTTGCATAATCAAATCCATGCTTTTCTTTGATGCCATTTCGACAAACAGTGTAATTATAGAAACGAGAATTCTTGATTAATCCAAGCCACTCTCGCCACCCAGGAGGGATATAGCTGCCATTGTATTCATTGAGGTATTTTCCAAAAAAGGCTGCAATAGGGGGGGACAAAAGGATTCTTTTTTCACATGAAATAATTAATCATAAATAAATGTATAAATACATAAATATGAGATTATAATTTGAAAAAGAGACAGTAAAACAAAAGTTAACCTAGCTAAAGTGACAGATGCTAGAATCACATGAGTGTATTCTGATTCTTTGGCAAAATGACAGACACATATTTTCCTTTTGAATAAATAAAAGTAGTACCCAAGTACATGGATTATGGTTCAATAAAATCACCATAATGGTAACAGTACCCTGGTTGCATCTATTTCTTATGGTTCTACTGAAATAAAAGCAAAATGTACTCTTTTGTTAGAATGATGTAGCAATCAAAGATTGTAGCCAGTGTGAGATTTGGAATGCTACTAGGAGATAAGTAGAGGAGAACTGAAAGTTTAGTCTATAATAAAATAAGTTTTATAACTTACTGTTGGAGAGTTGTGAATTATAAAAACACTATTAAAAGATTTGTCTTTGTTTTTGCATCCAAAGTGTAAACTTTCCAAACCAAGGAACATGATAAACTCCATTTTTTATAGGATATGGTCTGGGTTTTTGTGTCATGTGTATTTTGTGGCATGGGTGTTTATATCAAATGGGTGCCCTATGCCAAATATTCATATATTATTGATGATCAAAAATTATGGCAATATAGAGTTACCATATAGATTACTGGGAGTCCCTGGGAGGTGCAAACTTTAACATGCATGACTGCTAACCGAAAGGTTAGAAGTTCAATTCCACCCAGAGATGCTCTGAAAGAAAGGCTGACAATCCAGTTCTGAAAAATCAGCCATTGAAAACCCTATGGAATGCATTTCTACTCTGACACACATGGGGTTGGCATTAATCAAAATCAAGTGCAAAGCAGTTGACTTTGACTACGTAAATGCATGGAGTAAGGTAGTTCCTGGAAGACCGGGTTGGGAAGTAGTAATTGATGCTGAAAAAAGATTCTAGAACCAGGACGTTTTATTGGTATTGCTCTTAAAGCATACATTTTCGAATCTTTAACTTATCCAATGGACACTGTCTCAGTGTTTTTATGGGACAGATATTTAACTTGCTCTCATTTTTGATGTACAACCTGTAGAATAGCTCCATCTGAATGTCTTATGCCTTAATTCAATAGTCTGAAAACAGAGTAAGTCATCCCCCTCACCTCTTAATTTCATTCTCTTCTCAGGTGTCCTTTAATTCTCTTAATGGCATAATTCTCCTCCCTGTTCACCAGGCTTGGCAACCTAGATCCCGCTCTGAGCCCATCTACTCCTGCATATTTCTCCCTCTGCAATTGCTTCCACCATATCTGTCCCTCTTTCTACTATTCCATTATGACTCTCTTGGGGGTGCTGACAGTCTCATGACCAGCACAGGCTCCTAGCATAGGCTGTAGTGTCTTTCCACTCTCACTGCCACCAAGGAATCTTCCTGGAGCCCAGCTCTGTTCACATCACCCTTCTGCTCAAATCTTGGATGCACTCTCATTGCCTACAGAAGCAAGTTCAACTCACTAGCTTGCCATCAAGGCTTACTTTGGGTCTGGACCAAACCCCTCTTTTTCCTGGTCTTTTTTATGATTTTGAGTTTTGTTCCACATTGTTCTCCCACTCTATCCAGGATCTCCTGCACTGATCCCTTTCTGAGTGGTTGACAGTGGTAGTCAAGCACCATCTAGTTCTTCTGGTCTCATGGTCACATAGGCTGAGATTTGTATGATCCACTAGTCCCTTGGACTAATTGCTTCCATGTGTCTTTGGTTTTCTTCATTCCTCTTTGCTCTGAATGAGGAGAGACCCACTGTTGCACCTAGATGGTCGCTTGTAAGCTTTTAAGACTCCAGTCACTACTCACCAAAGTAGGATATAGAATAATGTTTTCATGTAGTATGTTATGCCAGTTGTGCTTGATGTCCCCTGTGACTATGGTCCCAACCCCACAGGTCCAACTACTTGCTTCCTCAGGGTGATTGGCTGTGGCTAAGAAGTTATCATAACTTTGCCCCTTGTTAGCTCTATTATGTATGTGGACATTCTTACAGCACATACAAATACATATGTAGAAATATCATCTGCCTACCTTATATATGGAAAGTCTGGTGACTCAAACCCACCAGCCACTCCTTGGAAGGAAGGTTGGGCAATCTACTTCTCAGAAACCCAAGTATGAATCAGATCTGACTCAACAGCAGTGAGTTTGGTTTTGGTTTTTACCTTATATATGGTCATGGGTATATTCTCTTTTCACATTCCTCTTTCCAGCTAATTTTTGCTCTATGTATCTCCACCTCTATCTTTGTTGTGCTATTTTATTTTCCTTTCCATGTACCAAAGTTAGTGTGATATCTAGTGTATCTACAGTCCTCAAACTCATAGCATGTTATCTCTATGGCTGTAATATCATGCTCCCCTTTTTCCCTTGTGGTAGACTTATGCTGCTATATATGACTAAAACAAGTTACTGTGAAGTCAATTCCAACTCCAACTCAAGATGACCTCATTTGTTTCAGACTAAGTTTTCAGTGCTGACTTTTCAGAAGCAGATCTCCAGAGCTTTCTTCTGAGGTGCCCCTAGGTGGACTTCAACCACAAACCTCTTGGTTAACAGCCAAGTGTGTTAACTGTTTACCCCACACAGGAACATATTTAAGACTGTAAGAGTTTTGAGGACCAAAATTGTCTTTACCCTCTCTGTAGCCTCCCTACATAGTAGAGGCTCCACAGTTTTTTGTTTCTTCAACTGGGGTTCATGAACTCAATGTAGTTGAGGGATTCTACAAATTGTAGAATTTTTCAGTTTTGTGTTTTCATTTGAATACTAAGTTTTTTAAAACTGATTTGTTTCTCCCAAATATTTTTATAAAATAGAGCTTCTTAGTTTCTGAAGTTGACATTTCTCGTCAGTTTTACTTTCTTGCAAAGAGTCTGCCTTTGAGTTTGAAAACATGGCAATGTTTGTTTATTTGTTGAATAAATGTTTATTTGTTGACTCTGTGAATGAATGAATCAATCAAGTGGTAAATCAGCCAACTGCCAACTGCTTGAGAAGGGCCAGGATTCCAGGAAGGCCACAGAGCAGAACGTCAGGCAGGACACTGTTGTGTAGGACAAAGTGTCAGAGGAGAAGTGACTCAGGTTTTCCCTCCCAGCTGACTATGTGCAGCTGGAATTCTTCTAATGAGGGATTCTTGCCTTTAGGGACTAACCAACCTTTCACATAGAACCACAAGAGGATTTTGCTTTTCTGACAAATGCAGTGTGACTGAGCATCACAGACAGGGGACCAAGTCATACCCCAACAATATAAGTTCAGAATGGGACTGCTCCAGGAGCCTTGAGCTCAGTTCTTCCTCATCCTTGGGATGGGGTAGTGTTTATCCCACATTTTTCTCTTTTTCTTCTCAAAGAAGTAAAGAGCATGGTGGATAGGAATATAAACACTGGAGCCAGCCTGCATGAGTTCAAATTCTGACCCTGCTACTTAATAACTATACTTTCATGGGTAAGTTACTTAACCCCTCTCTGCCTGGTAGCATAGTGCCTACTAAGGCACTTGACTGCTAACCAGAAGGCTCGCGGTTCAAACCCCCCAGCCACTCCTCAGAAGGAAGATGGGGCAATCTACTTCTGTAGTGATACTGCCTCAGAAATCCAAGGAGGGGTCGCTAAGAGTCGGGTCCGACTCGATGGCACATAACAACAACAACAACAACAACGATGATGTTAATAGTAGTAGAGCTGTTGTGAAGATTAAATGAGGTAATACATATGTAAAGCACTGAAAATAGGGCCTGGCACATTATAAGGGTTTATCAAGGATTACTTACTAAATACTATTCAGGTTCCTGGGTGGTGGCAAATGGTTAATATCCTTGTCTGCTAACCAAAGACTGTAGGTTCAAGTCTACAGAGGTGCTTAGGAAGAAAGACCTGGTGATTTACTTCTGAAAAATCAACTATTGAAAACTCTACAGAGCACAATTTTATGCTGACGTGTGGGGTCGACATGAATTGGAATTGACTCAGCTGCAATTGGTTAAGAACTACTAGGATGACTTTCATTAGCGTCACCACCTTCATCATTATCCTCTCCATCCTGCCTTCTAATTTTAAGTAATTCACTAGTCTGCATGGAGTTCTGCACTTGCTCATTTTAAAACTCTTCTGGACAGTATTTTTTTTTTTTTCCAATCTGATTTATTTTGGGGCAACAAATTCTCCCTTACTTGACTTATATGTTCCTTGCTATTTTCAGTTTTTGTTTTTCTTCCCCTTTCAAGGAGCCATGCCAAGTTATTCCTGCCTCTCCTTCATTGTTTTACTTTTTAGATTATTTTGCAGTGTTTTCCACCCATTGCCATGGCTATTGCCCTTTGCCTTAATCCTTTCCTTTTAAATGATTCCATCAAGTCTTTTAATAGCCGTTTGCTTCAGGACTCGCTCCAGGTTTTCAGTATCTTTGTATTAGTGTAAAAAATATACTCAGTATTCCAGATGTGCTCTCACCCTTACGCGTTCCAGGAGTGGCCACTGCCTCCTGAGAGCATCATGATGCAACACCTCTGAGTTCTCTGCCTCAAGTTACTCTGGGCCTTTCTTGTTGCCTTGGAAACACTGAGACTCATTTGTTATCACCCCTCACCCTTTTCAACGTTATGTTTCCTGGCAGTGCTCTGCAATTGATTATCTGGGCTTCTAATTATTTTCTTCCAGATGTATTAAATCTTTCTCCTTCCTTAAGGTGAATTTCATTCTGCTGCCCATACTGCCAATATGTCTAGTTTGAAGTTTTTCTATCCTTTGGCATTGGCAATTCAACTTAACTTAGTACTATCTGAATACATCATGAGTTAGTTTATCCATTCTTCTTATCTTTCTTTGGGATACTGTTAAACACTTCCTTTTACAGCTATTTAAGAAGGTCGGGGGGAAAGAGGGAGATTTGGGGGACAGGGAGAAAGACCAGAAAGACATGATTATAATGC